CCAAAGACCTCTACGATTTTATTCCAGTTTAATAAATCACAGTTTGATACATTCAATCTGCATTTTCTATGTTTCCCATGGGTTTGCAGACACATGATCGATGAGAATATGCAGAGCAATGTCTACATGCGATATTGTGTTACCATCACGATGTATTTTGTGGATTATGCCCTCTAGGGGGAGCTGTTGAGGGGTAGCGCTTGCACCCGACTTGGGGTAGGTAGGGCGTAATGACGGGCTGTCATGTCTGGAAGATACCCTTCAATCAGTTGAGCCTGATGAGTGATTTGATTGGGTGAGATTTGAGGAGTGACAGTAGATTGGCTGTCACGCTTGGGGCGTGGTCTGATGACTTATTCCTGAGTGGGCGAGGCTTTGAGAGAGGATGACGGGTGAGTGACGCATGGAGGCTGAAAGCACAGCATGGTCACATGGTATCTGAGGGCAGTACACTGGCCAATGGTTCGCGCTGTTTGATCATGATTGATAACTGAAAATACAGGACTTTATGTTTATTCACTTCATTCAGTCATACACCCATTTTCCACACTGCGTCATTTATACAAAATATTTGTAAACTGTCAGAAAAAAGTATCAATCTGTACCTTTGAAGGTACAATCACTTGTCACTGGAGCTGTACCCTCAAGGGTCTGCCACCTGAACCCTAAGCTGTAGGTAAGTGTGCACTAATGTTGTTAGTACCTTGGGGAACAAAACTGTACCAGGGCTGTAATCTTTGTTCTGACATATATGTGTATAGTGGGTTCTGCTGAGTTCTGCTGGGTTCTCAGTTTCTTTCCTGACGTTAAGTCCCTGGACAGCCCTCATTCCCCGTTCTCGATGTCCTGACTTAAGATAATAAATATTTGTGACTGGAAGTGTCGCATCCAGATCTCCCACAGTGTTTCGAGAGAAACATAAACATAAATCAGTGGCGTTCTTTGATGACGTTCTTTGATGGACATTTCTTCATCGGTTACCAGGAGATTATTTTAAGGTCAAGATAAACTGGCAGGTGGGGGCTTTGACACCAGTCCACGAGTTTGCATATGTTAATATGTTCACCGTGTAATTTCCATGGTGAAAGCCGGTTAGCTCTTAGATCATCGCCCTGTTTTAGCTATCGGCACCTTGGACCGCTGGGCTTGCTGTCCGGACCCACCGCCTTCCAACAGGCCGGGTCACGTGGCGGCTCATCGCTTCGTCACGTTCGCCCACCCTTCTTGAAACGTGCCCCCCTCCCCCCAATAGGAATGGATCGCTGTCCTCTGTTGTGAGCGACACTAATATCATTAAGCGTATCGGGTTCAGGCAAGCCAGGGGTGCAGCGAGTATAAATCACAAAGCCAGCAGCTGATGGGGTACAAACCCGCGTCGGGGAAAAGGCCGAGATTTACATTACTCCACCAAAAGCATCGCTGTTATTCACACTTTCGTGCAGATTGTCTGACAGTGTAAGGACATATGGTTTTAATTACACACCTGTCTTTTATTGAAGCCAATGTGACAATTGCTCTGGGACTTGAACCTGCAACCTTCAGGTTGGTTCCATGACCACTACATGTTCTAATATCCCTTAAGTGCTGGTGGGTCCAATGATATGCTAGAAATTAAATCTTTTCTATCACACTGTCATTGTTTAGTTAATCATTACGACCGGGATTAAAACAGCCTGTTAAGAGACTCTGAGTGTGGCCGGTGTAGAGAGGGTTCCAGCAAATTCCTTAGGGAGGGGTTCAAACTAGTTATTTTACTTCCTGACAACGTGTACTATCGGAAGCAAATACATTTCGGGGGAGGGTTCAGACCGGTAATTTTATTATGTGGTTACGTGATTGATGCCACCTCGCCATATTCATAAGGATTATGTCACAGGAACACATCAAATGTCATGTCCATCAGCTTTTAAAAGTACCATATTTTTCTGACACAGCTGCAGGACAAAAAAATGGTTGCGCATCGTCCTGGGACCTGTGGCGGTACCTTACAAGTTATTAGCCTGTGTTCTCTAGCGGCACCAGCAAAGCGCCGAGCGAGCCGGTATTAATGGAAGCACGGTGCCTCGAGTAGCCAAGGGAGGAATAAACAAGCCGAAAGAGAGTTTACCGCGAAGAGGTGCGGCAGCACAACAGATGAAACGGCGATCGACCTGGCGGCTTGATCACAGGCTGCGAAGT